GACAGCCAGATCATAAACGAAACAAAGAAACATTTTTTAACTATAATCTTTGAGACCTCCAGGAAAATTGAAAGTTAATGTTAATTCTATGAGGTAACTGACAGTTTGACGAGAGTTGTGGTAAATTTGTATTCTTCTACGAGTGGTATCTGTGGAAAAACGTTCGCCTTTTTCCTCCTAGCGAAAATAACCTAACTACAACATATACACCCACGACGTGAGACAGATCAATTTTAATGAAGGCTTTTTTTTGGCATATCTTCTTTGTCACCTGCTTTATGAACTCGCTTCGTGGTTTTGGTGCTGTTATGTCATTAATTCGTCAGTCGGCAGTTTCGTCGAAATCTTAATTGAAATGTAGGTGGGTTGCTCCAGGTGCTTTGTTTCGTAATCATTGAATTGTAATTGTACTTAAATGGTATAAACTGGTGCACTCTGCTCCTGAACAGTCATATCCTGAAGATTCACCTGAACTGGAACTCACTGAAAACTGGTTAACTTCCCCCTTACGCAGACGGAATTGACAAGACGCTGCGCAGAATCAATCAGATATGCTGGAAAACCTCGCTAAGGTTTCAATCATATTTTCAATTAATCCCTTTCTTTTTCTATTTAAATACTCAGTTCTTGTAAATATTTTATTTTTTCCTCTCAGTTCGGTGGTTTGAGAGTCTTTGCCATTGTGCTGCTTGTGATAGCAACCCCAGAAGGAAGACAAATTTACGACAGAGCTAAAGCCGAAGAGGCGAAACGTGGCATTAAAACCTTCACACGGGACGTTGTAGAAGATTACAACCCTGAAATCCACCAAGAACATGATGACAAGAAACACGACGAAGATTCTGCGTTTAAAAGGAAATTATTACTCAAAGGTTATACTTGTTCGGTTTTAAACGAAGCCACAAAATTTTTCTCAGAACCCGTAGATAAAGAAAAAATTTGTAAGTCACATGGTGGTTGCATTTGCATGATTGACTCATACGGAGATTGCCAGGGGTGTTCTATAGCTAATGAGAGTGGACTACTCATTTGAAAAAAAAAAAGCGTAAAAAGCTCTGTTTATTTAAGGATCTAAAACGTTTAATGTGCTTGCCATGAGCAAAACGTACTTAATAAAGGTTTAAGTTCTAAGGTATCCCGATTGGTTTGAGTACAACAAGTTTGTATTAGGTTTGCAGGCATGAATGCACAACTGAAAGGCTATTACACTGATTGCAGCACAGAAGAGTGTTTTTTTTTCTTATTTCACCAACGCTTGGAAAAAATATTTTGCGTCGATGTCAGCCATTTTGCCTGAGTTTGAACTATAAATCGTCATTTGATATTTAAGCTATGTCCTGGCGAGCACCTTTGTAGATGTACTGCCATTATCAATTAAACTACTGATGTACAAACACATACAACGGTTTGTGAGAAAAATACTTTGGAAAGAAACCTATTAATTGGAGTCCCCAAAGTTGAGTACATGATTTCTCCGTTCGACACCTGTGCGACTACTCCTATACCCTCTTCACTTCAGAATCAGAACATTTTTAAGACTCTTCTTGAAATTATCTTCGTTTT